TTTTTTTTTTTTTTTTTTTTTTTTTTTGAAAGAATGGGAATTTTAAACAAAGTAAAGGGTGGAAAGAAGAAAACAAAACAAAACAAAGCTTTAGAAGAAAAGCTAAGCCAAGGAAAGAGTTTTACATGTGAAGGACCGACCAGACCATACGGGTACAGTGCTAATCATAGAGATCTCAATCTCCCCTTTTTCTTTAAGATGAGCAGCAACCAGACTTTTGGTTCACAGGCTGTCCTCGAATTTGCACAGTTGGCGGCCGCGCATTGTTCATTGGTTGAGTTGCCATCCTGCAAATTAATGGTGCTTCACACGTCAGAACATATAAGCTTTCCGAGTAGTTTACTCGTGAGCACGTCAGCTAGGTTGGGCTAGCAGGTATTGTTTTCTTTGAACTTTCTTTTCCGGGCTTTCCTTTGAGGTTTTTAAAATACGTTGTCTAGAGAGAGGTTTCTACACCCTTATAGAGAATGTTTTGTTCCCCTCTCCAACCGATGTGAGATCTCACAATCCACTCCCCTTCGGGGCCCAGCGTCCCCACTGACACTCGTTCTCCTCTCCAATCGTTATAGAATATCACAATCCACCTACCTTCAGGGCCCATTGTTTTCGTTAGCACACTGTTCGGTGTCTGGTTCTGATACCATTTGTAACAGCCCAAGTCCACCGCAAGCAGATATTGTCCTCTTTGAGTTTTCCCTCAAGATTTTTAAAACGCGTATGCTAGAGAGAGATTTCCACACTCTTATAAAGAATGTTTCGTTCTCCACTCCAACCCATGTGGATCTCACGTATAGTTTCTCCCTATTCACACACCTCAACAGATTCATTGGGCAAGCTTGCTAAAGAAACTGATGGAGGCATGGATCCATGACTTCACAAATAGTCCATGTTTCTAACGAGTTTGAGATTCAAACGCTTAAGAATAATACGGGTTGGATTATAGAAACTTTAGTTAGTGCAACTATTTTTAATTAGTAGGTTTCATGATTTGAAAAAAGATGCAGGTTTTTGTAGAAATCTATCCCATGAACCACACATCCTAATTGGTTGGAATCCTTTTTATTAAGGTCCAGAGTAAACTTACCTATTCTTGATTTCAGCAGCCATGGCCATGAAAGCCTGTTCAACGTTCGTGGCACTTTTAGCACTTGTTTCCATAAATGGAATCCCAATTTCATCCGCAAAGGCCTAAAAAGGAAAATACAAAGTCTCACTTCGCTAAGCCTTTTTCTGGTCCAAAAGGCTGCCAAATACTTCAAGTAAAGAATGAATCTGAACGAAAATGATACCTTGGCTGACTCATAGGACACGATTTTGTTAGCTGTCAGGTCAGATTTGTTGCCCACAAGAAGCTTGTTCACGTTTTCACTTGCATAACGATCAATTTCATTTAACCACTGCTTTACATTATTGAAACTATCTTGGTCTGTAACATCATAAACAACCTGCCAAGAGTTAACAAGATTCAGATTAACTTATCATGCTCGATTAACCCCCAGAACAAGATTTATAGACAAGGGGGTTTAGGGAGTATGAGGCGCTTACAATAATGCCGTGAGCCCCACGGTAGTAGCTGCTGGTTATTGTTCTAAAACGTTCTTGGCCAGCGGTATCCCACTGCACATTGTAAGTAAGAGTTTGTCAAGTCCTCTTTCCACAATAAAATAACAGTTGGGAATAATTTGGAGGATGGAATTCATATGTAGAAAACTCAGAATAATCTTTTCTAAGACCAATTTAGTGTTCTATTTCAGTGTATGTTTGCTCTCTACATGCATAGATGGTAAACAGAGACGAGGTAAATTTATCAATTGCCGAAGATGTCCTTTCAGGGACAAAAGAATTTCTCAAGTTGACCTCTATCTTATAAACGTTTTATGGACTTGTTTTTGGGAAAAAAACTGACGTGTTATTAGGATGTGAAACAGAAGCCCAGAGTCCCAGACCAGCGCATCTCAAAGGTAAATAGTTGGTTACTTCTATACAAGTTTATAAAGGAGTAAAAAGGCATTAACATACTGCCAACTAAAAGCATATGAAGATAATAGAAAACTACCCATGCGACCCTTTTTTTTCTCTTCGAAGGTACACATGCGACCTTCATTATTACTTCAAAAGGAATTTTCTTTTGTTAGGCATGAAGTAAACGCTGCATATCAGCCACCTTTACTGGAAAGCACGTGATTAAGACCTATAATCCTATACATGCTGAAATGTTTATTTAGTATAGTCAACTAGAAGACAACTAGAAGATTTTAAACTTACTATTTGGAGCTTAATAGTCTTCCCATCGAGCTCCACTGTGCGGATTTTCTAAAAAGAATGGAAACACGAGATGTATTAGAACAATGGTTTTCTTTAAAGCAATAAACGTAAATAACAGAAGAGTGGAAAATCAAAAACTTACAAAGTCAACCCCGATAGTGCTAATGTAGCTATCCAAATATGAATCATCCTGTTGAGCAAGAAAATAGAGAGAAAAAGAAAGTAAATCCTACAATAAATCCATTAATCCAGGTACAGCACATTAGATACTAAAAAAACATCGACACCTAATAGCATTCAAGTGCTGTTTAGAAACAGTCCCACACACACAAAGCTGCATAAGATGGTTATTCGAAGTTCAACTACGAGTATGCAACAATATAGAGGTCATACCAAAACCAACTGACATGTGATAGAAGTTGGAAACTGGGAATCGTGTATCAAAACTAGGTATTGAAATTAGTTGATATAGTGAATTTGACAACATAATTCAGAGCCAAAAAGAAGAAAAAATATATGTTAAGCATAAACAGAAAGTGGTAGAATGGCCGAGAACTTACTGCAAACCTCAGAAGGAGACAGGATTTTCCAACACCAGAATCTCCAATAAGCAGAAGCTTAAACAAATAATCACTGCACGAAACAGATGAGCATTGCGTAGAGCTTAAGATATATATGAAATGCAACAATAGATAAGTTATCGAAATATATAATGAGCTTAAGATAACTCATGCAAATATATTGATTGAAAATTGAAACGAGAACGAGGCAGGTGATGCTCACTGATAAAATTTCTTCATGAAATAGACCATTGATATAAGCCAAAACACTTTGTGTAAACTACAAGCAATCATCTTCTACAATTTATCCTTATCTATGGAAACTCAGTCTAACAGATCAATCTGTTATAATTTCTTCTATGTTCAAACAAATTATTCATTGCTTTTCTATCGTCGAGGACCAAATGATGCCAAAGAGCATACACCACAAGACTTTATTCCGTACCAAACAAACAAAATAGCCGCCAGATATATAAAGTAAATGAGATACAAAACATAAATAAATTTTGACCTGTATCAATTTCAGCCGAATTAACAAAACAAGACACCAAACTAAACAATTCCAAAAGCTAAGGATCCTGAACTCATTGCTTGGCAAACGCTGCTAAAAGAAACCGATGCAATTGAGCACCGATGACCGAAATTGATCGAATCGCGTGGATCCGATTCCAAATCCCAAGGATCTACCGAGAAATTGCCACAAGAGCCAGGCTTACCGAGCTATAAAAACTAAAATTAAGAAGGTGAAATTATTATTTAAAAAAAAAAAACAACCACGTACCAGATCTAGGCTAAGCATAAACAAAAAGAAACACGCAAGTTCCGAGAAGTAAATCGAAATACAGAATTTAAAAACGAACAACATGATCAGAGGCAACGAATTCAAGCTTACTATTCAGGCGTCATGGGGACGAGCGGTGGAGATCGATGGAACACAGAGAATTCCGCACGGTGCTCGAGAGACGTAAATTACGCCGGCGAGTTTCGATCGGAATGCGGAGGAATTTGCCGCGGAAAACGGTATTATTGAACGAAGGTAGAAGGAAAACAAGAAGAAGAACGATTTGTATTTGCGTTTCTGCAGAACCGAGAAATCTGCAGGGAAATAAATTTGAAAACGGGAGTTCCGTAATGAAGTGGACAACCTTTTAAATATTGCCACGTGTTGCATGTTGATTTACGATTTTGGACATTTCAAAGTATTAAATTAACCACCCTTTAATGATAGGGAAGCTTTACTCAATTATTTGATAACTAATTTACTTTTTAGTTTTTTATTTCTTAAAATTGTGTTCCCCCCCCCCCCCCCC